TGGAATACTACTTAAACTCCCTGTCTCAGGATGGGATTTGAATTCTCAGCAATTCCTAGTCTTTTATTCAACCAGGATGTACCATCGGTTTGGTGATGAAGCTGCCTGAAGCTTGAATCTACCAAGTTCTTGAAAGTATAAACCATTCCTCCTGTTCTTCGATCCTACGTAGGAGCCACAATGTATATAACAGTTGTTAACAAAGTTTACCAGCCTTTGTCTAACACAGTGATTCTTACCCAGGGGTCCATGTTGAAATCATCTGAGAAAATTTAACCCCATTCCTTAAAGATTTTAGTAGTTGGGGGCATGTATATTTTATAAAATATGTGCCTGATTAAGAATCCCTGGTCTAGCACTTAACTTTATTCAACGTACAATTACTGTTTATAATATTCTTCATAATATCTTCCCTCAGGTTTTAGCTTCTTGTTGCCTTGGCATTTGTTGTTAGGTGCTGCCGAGTCAGCTCTGGCCCATAGCGACCCTGTGTACAATAGAATGAAATGCTGCCCTGCCCTGTGCCACCCCCACACTCCTTGCCATGACTGAGCCCATCATTGCAGCCACTGTGTCAATCCATCTTGTTGAGGGTCTTCCTTTCTTTCTCTGACCCTCTACTTTACCAAGCATGATATCCTTCTCCAGAGAATGATCCCTCTGACGACATGACCAAAGTAGGTGAGATGAAGCCTGGCCATTCTAGCTTCTAAAGAGCATTCCAGCTGCACTTCTTCCAGGACAGATTTGTTCATTCTTCTGGCAGTGCACAGTATTTTCAGTATTCTTTGCCAACACCATAATTCAAAGGCATCAACTCTTCTTTGGTCTTCCTAATTCATTGTCCAGCTTTCACATGCATATGAGGCGATTGAAAATATCATGACTCGGACTAGTGCAGCTTAGTCCTCACAGTGACATCTTTCTTCCTCAACATTTTAAAGAGGTCTTTCGTAGCAGATTTGCCCAGTGCAATATGACATCTGATTTCTTGACTGCTGCTTCCATGGGTATTAACTGTGGATCCAAGTGAAATGAAATCCTTGACAACTTAAATCTTTTCTCCATTTATTGTGATGTTGCTTATTGGTCCAGTTGTGAGGATTTCTGTTTTATGTTGAGGTATAATCCATACTGAAGATTTCAGTCTTTGATCATCAGTAACTGCTTCACTTTCAGCAAGCAAGGCCATGTCATCTATGTATCACAGGTTGTTAATGAGTCCTCCTCTAATCCTGATGTGATCATAGAGTCCAGCTTCTCAGATAATTTGCTCAGCATATAGATTGGATAAGTATGGTGAAAGGATACAACCTTGACACACACCTGTCTTGATTTTAGACCACGCAGTATCCCTTTGGTGTTTAGATAGCTACAAAACTGACTGGGTAATGTATATACCAGTACATTATCTCAGTGAAGCCTCAGATGCTTCCAAAATAGGTTCTAATCCCATTTTTCAGATGTGGAAACAGGCTCAGAGATTGTTCCATCTGTCCAAGATCACACAGCTAAGAAGTAGAAGTAGATCCATAACCCAAACTAGCTATAGTTCGAGAGCCCTAAGCCTTCACAAAAGTGCCCAAAGCAGCAAAATGGACAAGGAAGTACATTAGAAGGGGTTTCCAGGGCACACAAATCCATTCATAGTTCCTCCAGCCTTCTCTGACAGAACTGCCCAACAGAGTGCTAGACTCCCAAAGCCCTCTACCTCCTGGCCCCTGAATTGGGTTAACTGTCACTGCTTAATTAGATTGCAAATGCTAGTTTGAATAAGGAGCAACTTCTTAGGATTTGAGTTGCCTTCCCCCACAGTTCCTCTTTGCTAATTAGGCTGCCTCCCCCACATACAGTAGGGTGTCTACCTTTAGAAGTTGAGAACACAGTTTAAATCAATTGCTCATTGTACTTCCTCCAGGCTACCATGGCAACAAGTGTTCATCCCAGCAACTGTTCCGCAGCCAATTTGGCTTTCTTCCCTCAAAGCTCCACCCCTGCCTTTGAGGCACACATATCAGAGCCAAGTTCCACTATAGTTCAGCCTTGAGGCTTCGCTCACCTGGTGCCTCACTCATGACTACCTTCCAACTTGAGAGTTAGTGCTACAACTAAGGTACCGTGACATCTGGAACAAGTTACTCTAAGGGTTCAAGTTGCCCATCTAAGATGAGCATTTCTAGTAAGATGTTTTTCAAAGCATGGGTAATAACTCCTTGGTGGGTATATTAGTTCTCTGTTGCTGCTTTAACAAATTACAAGTTTAAATTAGTAGTTTAAAATGCAGATTATCTGGGAAGGGAAAGTCAGAATTTTCCCCCTTATTTTCCCTTAGTAGATGAGGTTGCTACTGTAACACATTAGTCTGAGATTAAAAACTTCAGATCAGATTGCATTTTGCTTTACGCTATAGTTCATGTGGAGTCCCTTTATGGCACAAATGGGTTAACCAGCTTGCTTGCCAATCAAAAGGTTTGCGTCCACCTTAGAAGACCTGGTGATCTGCTTCCAAAAAAGTCATCACTGAAAACCCTGGGGAACACAGTTCTGTCCTAACACATGTGGGATCACTGAGTTGGAGCTGACTCACTAGTAACCGGTTTGGTTTTGGTTGGTGTACTCTGTTTTTCAGCACTGCCTCCCAAGGAGAAAGGTGTAAATTTGAAATATGTTCTTATCATAGAAGTGAAATAATTTATCACAGAAAATCTATTCATAGTAATTGATCATAGAAATCTTTATATCAAAAAAACTGAAATTTCTAATAGGCAAGAGTAAAAAATAACATTAGGAATTCAGTAAGCTAGATATAAGTTTCTGAAAGATGGTAATAAATTGATTGAGATGTAATTAGAAAGGAAATGTGATCAGAATCAAAGCAATGTTTTTATGTGGACACAAAGCAGAGGGTACAGTTTAATCAAACTGTTGGAAGGACTCAGCCTAACTTCATCTTAGGAAACAAAATTGGACCTAGAAAAGTTCTTTAAAAATTATATTTCTTGTAAGATCCTAAAGCTAATAATTTGTCCCAACATTTTGAAAATTACCAAATACACACAAGTTGAAAGAGTTGTGTGAAGGGCCTGCATACTCCCAAGATTCATCAATTTACATTTTACTCTATTTGCCTTATCACTTGTCTACATCTTTCCAGCCCTCTATTCATCACTCCATCTTGAAATACACTTAGCACTTTCATGCTTGAGTTGTTTTCAGGATTTATGAAGCCATATTTTATTGCTTAAAAGTATGAGTTTAGTGGGAAGAAAATGAGCCTCTAGATGAGTCCTGACTATACTTACCTTAAAACTCTAGCTAATAGCTTTGTGTAAGAAAAAGATTTAAGTGTGGGAAGGGAAGGCTTCTGCAGCTTGAAATATGTATTTGAAAAAACAAGCAGATCTTGAACTTTTGGGCTCCCCAATTGTAAAATGCGAGGGTAGGGCTATGTTTCCTCTCGAGGCTCCAGGAAGAATCGGTTCCTTTGCCTTCTCTGTCAGCAAGACATATTGCCTGTGTTCCTTGGCTTGTGGCCCTGCATTTCTCAAATCAGACCATGCTGTCTCCCTTTTCAATAAGACCCTTGTGATTATATTGGGTCCCCCTGGCTAATCCAAGCTAAACTATTGTCATGGATGTCAATTCAGGCTCACAGGACACTATAGGACAGAGTGGACCTGCCCCATAGGGTTTCCAAGGCTGTAATTCCACCCCCCTCCCAACCCCGCCCCTGGCAGAGCAGCTGGTGGGTTCAAACTACAGATCTTTCTATTAGCAGCGGAAGCTCATAACCACCGTGCCACTAGGTCTCTTGTAAAAGGAATTAAAGTCAATGAAATGCAGATCCTGGAGCTGTGGTAGCATAGTGCCTAAGGCATTTGACTCCTAACCAGAAGGCTGGCGATTCAAACCCACCAGCCACTCCTTGGAATGAAGGATGGGCAATCTACTCCTATAGTGATGTTGTTATGTGCCGTCGAGTCAGACCTGACTCATAGCGACCCTTCCTTGGGTTTCCGAGGCAGTATCACTATGGAAGTAGATTGCCCCAGAAACCCAAGGAGGGGTCTCTATGAGTCGGTCCGACACGACGGCACATAACAACATAACCATAACATTATAACCATAACTATGACTTAATGGAACTTTGGTCGTGTAGTGCCTAAGGCATTTGACTGCTAACCAGAAGGCTGGCGGTTCAAAACTGCTTAAGGTTTCCTTGGCTATGATCTTTATGAAAGCAGATCACCAGGCCTTTCTTGGGTGGGTTTGACCATCAACCTTCAGGTTAGTAGTTGCACACAGGTAGGGGGTCAGAACAGGCTGAATGACAGAAGTTGTTAAGTGCCATCGAGTCGTTTCCGAGTCATAGCAAAACACTGCCCGATCCCGCGCCAGCCCCACAATCCCTGCTATACTTGAGCCCATCATTGCAGCCACCGTGTCAATCCATCTCGTTGAAGGCCTCCCCCTCTTGCGTTGACCCTCCACCCTAACAAGCATGACATCCTTCTCCAGGGAATGGTCCCTTCTTACAACATGACCAAAATAGGTGAGATGAAGTCTGGCCATTCTTGCTTCCAAGGAGCATTCTGGCTGCACTTCCTCCAGGACAGATCTGTTAGTTCTTTTAGCAGTCCATTCAGCATTCTTTGCCAGCACCACAACCAAAAGCATCAACTCTTCTTCGGTCTTCCTTATTCATTGTCCAGCTCTCACATGCATACGAGGCGATTGGAAATATCATGGCTTGTGTCAGGCCCACCTTAGTCCTCAAGGAGATATCCTTGCCCCTCAGCACTTGATACAGTAGTAAACAGAAGTAATTAAGCTGTAAGCTACCTTATTTGTGTCTACACAGACCCACGCTACCTAGAGGATTGTGGATGGTTAATACATTCACTCTGAAAAGAACTAGGGAGAAAAAATTCTTAAATTCCATCTAACCTTAATGCAAAAATACAAGAGGTTTACTTCAACAATTTTATTGGAAAATCCGGTTAGGGACTCATGGTTCTTTTCTTGTGTAGATAAGTAACAAGGCTTAGAGTTGCCACAACACCTGCTAAGGCAGCCATGACAACCATTGATTTAAAACTGATGTCTTCAGTGGTCCTGTGTCCTTTAGAGTCCCCAAGATCTGGAGAGGAAGCAGATATTGGGGTCTTAAAATCATGTTTGAGTTGTAAGCATAAGTTGAAACTTTACATATTGAGGCTTTTCAGAGAAGGAATGAAATTTGCCCTCAAAGAACTCAAAGCTTCAAATAGAATTCCTCTTTGTCTTCTTACCTCTTCAGTCTTCCTCCTTTTACTATACTTCCACAGCTATTCTCACTTCCCATGTGTTTTTAACAATCTAGAATCAGATGGGGGTCATACCTGGAAAGGCTCTTAGACTCCAAGCCCATTGTTTAACAGCCTGGTACTAACAGATATGTCCCTTGAGGGCAAGATCCCTCATATTAGTCAAGAATTTAAGACAGCTTTATTTTAGACCTAGATTTTGAAATTAAAACTATTTGGTACAAAGATTTAATTATGGGAATGTAATCTATAAACTTGAAATTTGGCAAGAATTAAAAATGCAATGCATGTGCCTCCTCACTTTCTTCCATATAGACAAGGATTTTAAGAGGATTCCATTATGGCATTAATAAGACTGAAAATAAACCTAGATGTACATGAATGTGGACCAGGACTAAGGCTAAGCTGAGTAAACCTTCTATGCTGTTAATGGGGAGGTAGGTCTTTTCATGTAGATGTAAGTAAAATGGCTAAGATGAATTAAAAGGCCAGTTAGAGAATTTAGCAGAATAGGATTCCACTTGTGTACCCTTTTAGAAATCCTCCTATAGCACAGAAGACTTACAGAAGCTGCCTCTGGAAAGAGACTTATTCTTCTGTTTAGGTTTACCATGAGGATGTATTATTGATGCACACGTGTTCAACTCCTGGCATAAAAGGCCAAGAACTTGAGTTTAGGTGTATCCCAGGCTTCAAATCCATACCTCTGAGTGAAGGGCTGTCTGATAACAAGAGGATGGGTCCCGGGAGGCTTACGGTTGCTTTCTCTTCTTCGGTGGCCCCTGTGTCTGGAAAAATAGAGTTTGTGTCTGACCTATGGAAGGTATGTCAGTGGAATATTAAGAGTAGATGTTCCTGTGGAGTATGCTGTTCCTCCATTTCACTCATCTTTGCAGGCAAGACTGTATCTTACTAGAAGAATGAGATGAATTCTCAAAGGAGCACCAAACAAGGTTAAGGCCTGAGTCCCTCTAGACTCAGAATGGTAACTTCTTAATGCCAAGTCTGTAGAACATCAGGTTATGTAGCCCATGGGTAGGAAACAAACTTGCCCATAGGTCTGGTAAAGAACTGGCTCATTTCAGACTCTCATAGCTTAGTCTGCCTTACCCATATGAGGTCTCTTTGACTCTTGGGACTAGGTGAGTGACAAAACAATAGATGCCATCTAGTTGATTATTCTAATTCATGGCAACCCCATGTGTTGTGCCCAGAGAACTGTGCCCCAGAGGGTTTTCAAGGCTATGATCTTTTGGAAACAGACCTCCAGGCTTTTTGTTCTGAGATGTGAGTTTCAAGCCACCAAACCTTTTAATTAGTAGTCAAGCACTTTACTGTTTGTGCCACTCAGGGATTCCTATGTGAGGAATACTCATTGTAAAAATTTTGGTTTCTGAAAAAATAAAGTTTGTTTTGAATTCATTAAGACTCATATTAACAAGGAATTTAAATTTACCTCTCCTCCTCCTCAATGGTCTAGGGCAAGTCACAGAACACAGAGGGGAATCAGGAGAGAGACTGTTGCAGATTAAGGCACTGCAGTGGAAGTACACCTGGAGATGGCAGAAGAAAGTTAAGTGGAATTCATGTACTCACATTCAGCCCATCCTAGGTGATTTGTTAGTCACTTACCAGGCTAGACAATGCTTGAGTTCTTGAGACAAAGGCAAAGGTCTTCACATCAAACCTCTGATAGTGATCAGGATGGGTCACAGAGGAACCCACTTGATGGAAGGTGGTTTGGTAGTTATCCAGGTTGTATTCACAGCTAGGAGACACGCCAACAAGGAACATTAGCCACATTCACCCCAGAGTCTTATATCTGCCCCAAATTTAGTCATGAGTAACATTTTTAAACTATTGCCACATCTACTTTCTATTTGTACCTGTTTTACTTTGTTTTTCTGCATTATTCTATGCAAAAGTACCCATGAAGTTATGTTTTAACTTAAATTAAAAATAATTATTTTTCTCTTCTATTGAATCAAAACTGTTCAAGAGATAGGCATATACTTCTCCAAGAGATCAATCATGGGAGAATAGAAGGGCTGTATATGCACAGGGAGACAGCTCAGGGGGCAGGAGTGCACGGGAGGGAAGGACACAGGGAAGAGGTGACTATGGGGAGGAAGTGGGAGAGGAGCTGTTGCATTGTTGGATATTGTAGTCAATGTCATGAGACAAAGTGTTATGGGAGCTGCTGTATGGAAAGTGAATTTGCTCTGTGAACTTTCACCCAAGTCACAGTTTAAAAAAACTTATATTTACCAACTAAACTCAAGAACTACAAGTTGTATATGTATTACCTCAAAAGACACTGGCTTAATTCTACTAACATGAGTGTCTATTACAACCTAGGCATTACTTTGGGTGATTAGTTTTTCAGTGACTAAAAAAAAAAAAAAGAATACTCCTGCCATTGTATATCTTACATACTAGCAGATGGTGGTAAATGATAAAGTAATATGTTAGATGGTAAATACTAAGACTAGAGTAAAAGGAGGAAGGGGTTGTAATCTTAATGAGGGACACATGAGCAAGTCTTTAATAAGGTGAAGATTTAAGGTGTGGGAATGCAATGGTTAAACATGGTTCTAGGACAGCAGGGAACCTGGAGGTTAAGGGCTTAGCAATCGACTACAGCAACTTCAACAATGAAACCTCATCCAGGTACAGACCCCTGGATGGGACACTGTAGGCAGAGCCAAGAGGACTAACACTTATGTACAAGTTCATGTACAGTTACAACTTCAGAGTATATAATGCTCGGTTTGGTGTCAGATTGGCAATCAAATCCCAGCTCCACCACTTACTAAATACTACTTTGGGCTAGTTAGACTACTTATTTAAGTGACAAGCTTGGGTTTCTTCATGAAGTGCAATGGTCAGTACCTCTAATAGGGTTCTGAGGCTTGAATAATGCCTGGAAAGTACACATCACAGTGCCTGGCTATGTGGTGGTAGGTGTTCAGTAAGGATCAGGACTAGAGAGCCATTGTCTCTCGAGGGCCAGATTTCCTTGGGGGAGGATTGCCTTCCTTAAGAGTCAGGGACAGTATGCAATAGGAAAGCATGAGTCACCCAATCAGATCAAAGACTGGCTATTAAGATGCAAAGAGTAAATCAAAGGCTTTATGAACTAGAACTCCTCTGCAGCCCAGAAGGATTTCTTCTATTCTCTTCACTGGCACATTTTGATGGATTAGGTAAGTGATCTTGGGGTGTGGAGAGGACATACCCATCCATAATAATATTCCACTGGGGGAGAGAGGCTGCGTCCATGGTGGCTGTTGCCCAACAGTCATCTATGACCAGCTTGATATTGGGGTCAGTCCTGTTTAGGACTTTCACTTCCATGTAAATTGGTTGGCGGAGGTACCTAACCAAAGGGTACTCATGGTCACCATAAGGTTGTTGGTAAGAGTTATCTGGAAAGGAATGGAGACCTCTTTAGTGTTTAATAGCAGCCCCAATATTGTTATTATTTCAACACCAGAAAGTTCATTTTAGAGAAAAAGTTCCCTGAATGTAAGCAAAGTTCTTTGGTGACCATGTCTCACCTGGGTAGGTTTGCAGGATGAAAGCAAGTGAACCTGGCTTCACTGGAGCTAGTGGAGGAGGAAGATTTCCAACATTGATGTTTATTAGCACATCACTGCTGCTATAATAGCACTTCACTGTCATTCTGTAAGGGGTAGTATGGTAGGTGGGGTGGTGAGGATGGTACAGAGAATTTTAGGTTAGAAAATTACTTAGATTTAAACTGGAGCTTAAGTCAAGCAGCAATTTTGTTGCATATCCTACCTGAATTCACTCTCTCTGGAAATTTTGCTAGGAAGATCTGCCCAGAGAGCATGTATTTCATTTTCATAGATGACTTTGTCTTCTTTAAACTTAAAGACGTTAGAGAAAGTTGGTTATCAACCAGTTATTTCCAATAATAGGTCCTAACCTCTTGGTACCTGCCGGTACTAACCTCATGTCTTGTTCCACATCCATTCAGGGGTATGTGAAACCGTACCAGCCCCTGAGACTGAGCCTTGAAGACAGGCAGGCAAGATGAGTCTCCCACTCTGAGGGTATCCAAGTCAAGAGCTGGTCTAGTTTGGTGGCTGTGGATCTCCAACTCCATGAAGCCGTCTTGTGTACACAGCTCATCTGTAACTACATAGTAGTGAGGGTTTAAAAAAAGTAACTACTATGTGATATCATCTACTGACCTTAGAGTATATGATGAGATGAAAATTATTTTCAGCAAGAAGCACCAGATTGTCTTAAGTCTTTAAGAAAATACTTTGAGAAGCAGCTTGAGTTAGAAGAGACATTAGGAACCCAATCAACAGTAATTTTCTCTATCAGAAAACAGGTTCTTCTTCATCCCAAGGAAGGACAAGGAGATGGAAAAAAAGGTGTCCTATGAGCTAAAGAAAGGAGCTCTGGTGGCACAGTGCCTAGGGCATTTGACTGCTAACCAGAAGCTTGGCAGTTCAAATCCACCAGCCACTTGCGGAAGAAGACTGAGCAATCTACTTCCATAAAGATTTACTGCCTTGGAAACCCAGTGGGGGTTGCTATAAGTCAGAATCAGCTTGATGGCAGTGAGTTTTTGTTTTTATGAGGTAAAGACAGGTGAGAAAACCAGATGCTGGACTAAAAAGATTCAAGAATGAGAATATTCATGGTTTAAAGTTCAGTGCCTTTTTGTCACTATGCCACTTCTTTCAAGACTCAAATCTTAAGTGGTTTGGGGGAAGGGGAAGTAAAACAGGAACTAATGGTTTCCATTTGGTTTCACCCAATAGAGTCAACAGTAAGCACAGGTGCAGAGGCAGTGTCAAACAAGAGGAAGCACCCATTGGAAGAACCTGTAGGAATTCAGGGAATATCTTTTAACAGTCTTAATTATGAGAGAGTTCTGGTGGTGTAGTAATTAAGGCATTTGGCTGCTAACCAAAAGGTTGATGGTTTGAAACCATCAGTGGCTCCGCAAAAGATGAGGCAATATGCTTCAAGATATACAGTCTTGGAAACCCAATGCGGGTTTCTATGAGTTGGGATCGTCTCAATGGCAGTGAGTTTTTTGGTTTTTGAGTCCTAATTAGAGGTTTGAGACATTCTTACCTATAGACTGTGGATTTAAACCCTTAACCCCATTTATATCCAGTGTACTTAAATATGTAACAATTATGAGACCTACCTGCATATTTTAGGAATGTTGTCCTATATAGTTGTGACCCCTGGATGACATAAACAGTGGAATGACTACTACTAACAAAGACTGTTCATTCAAACCCACTGGGAGGCATCTGAGAAGAAAGGCCAAAAGTTGTTGAAGCCTTGAAAACTGTGTGGAGCAGAGCTCTACCCTGCACTCATGGGGTCGCCATGAGTTGGTATCAGCTAGATAGCAACTGGTTTGGCTCTTGGATATCCTAACATATGGCTCTCGGAAGGAAGATCGGGCAACCTACTTCCGTAGAGATACCACCTCGGAAACCCAAGGAGAGGTTTCTGTCATAACAGTGAGTCTGGTGTTTGATTTTAATTTGAAACTAAACATTACATCAGAATCTAAACTAGTATATATGTTTTCCCACACACCCAACACCGCTAAGGGAGGAAAAAAAAAAAAAGATGTAGAAAACCATAAAAAAACAGAACTGTCTTTACCTATAGAAACTGGTGATTCACAGGGACATTCAGGATGAATTACCATGGAGACAGTCTCCTGATTAAAGCGAAAAGTCAGCTTGAGCGAGATATAGAACTGAAAGGATAGACATGTTGTAGACATCTGAAATGAGAAATGAGTACCCATCAACAGTCACAGCCTGTCTGGAGCCCAGTAGAATCACAGGGAGGCAGGCAGGAAGTATGATGAATACCTCCAGGGTACACTCCAGACATGTCTTGTTTCCCTTAAGCCAGAACTACAGAGACCTTATCACTTCCCCAGATCAGGATGTTTTCCCCAGGCAGGAAATTGATTGCTTTCAACTCCCACCGTAGAGTACCCAGCACTACATTCTCTTTGTACTGGACTAAAGTATAACTTAATTTATCAACAGACCAAATTCCTAAGAGGCTGGAATATTCTGCCAAGCTATTTCAGAGCAATGTTACTAGTATTGCAAAACACATACCCCTGACAACTGTCGTCAGTCAAGACAGCCTCCCTGAGGACTACAGTTTGTACTACTATTCTTTTCAATACAGCTCAGTAACAAAGGGTCATTATTAGAAGCTGGACAAGAAGTTTTTAGTCTATGAACTGAGTAAAACTGAACAATTTCCACTGCAGAGGTTAAAGAGGCTTGGTGTTTGAAAGTAACTTCAGTTACTTGGAAATTCATTTCTGTAAAATAATCAAATGGGGCCTTCCTACGTGCTTCTACTAACCTGGCAGTGTTATGAGCAACTCAACTATGCTAGGATTACCCAACACACTCTCAAATCAGATTTCTTCAGAATTGAGTAGTTGATAATGGAACATACTTTTGTTTTGAAGAAGCTTTTACTGAAATGCAGTCTCAAGCCATTTGTTGTTTCTACATCAATCCCATTGTCATGCAACTGGCTCGCTTCAATGTCCCCATTTTCAGTGCTCACAGCTTTTAACTTCCCAGGAAATTCTGGTATGGTGAGAGTCATGTGTGTGGCATTACATGTCACATGATCTGGAAGGAATGACAGACAATGCCCATTATCAGCCTTCAAGCCCCCAGAACAACAACTTGCACAACTGAGGTTGCAGCTTGCTGGGGCCTTACCTGTCACGCAAATCATTCGTGTCCGAAATATCATTATTTGCCCCGGAGAATCATATATAAGCATCAGAGGTACCATATAGAGATGACTGTTATCTTGCTGGGGAGACAGGAAGACAGTAAGACTTGGTTTATTTGAATCTCTAACCAGTGCTATCGCAAAACGCACTGCCATTGAGTCGGATCTGACTCATAGCAACCTCTCCTTGGGTTTCCAAAGCGGTATCACTATGGAAGTAGATTGTCCAACCTTCCTTCCGAGGAGTGGCTGGTGGGTTTGAACCGCACAAGTAGAATTTAGGCATTTTGTCCAATGATTGTTGGAGGTGCTAGTTTTATAATCTCATTCCGTAACATCTGGAAAAACTAATATGTCTACTGATTATGATCTATAGCTGATGCCTAAGGCATTTGACTGCTAACTAGAAGGTTGGTGGTTCAAACCCACCAGCCACTCCGCGGAAGGAAGACTGAGTAACTTACTTCCATAAAGATTTACCACCTTGGAACCCCAAAGAGGGTCACTGGAAGTCAGAATCAACTCGATGGCAGTAAGTTTGGTTTGGTTATGAACAAAACTTGTCTTATTTCATGTCTATTATGGTATCAGTGGTCAGAAAGAATGTTTACAAAACTGAAACAGGACTTTGTTAAAATTGTTGCTATTCAAGCATTTACTATGCGCCAGGCCCTGTTTTAAGTACTTCATAACCCATTAATTCATCTAGTGTAATTATCTTGACAGTTAGTCTAGAAAGCACCAATACATATTATAAAACACAAGATGTAGAACAGTCACTGATAACGTCCATGAATAAGGTCTTTTATCTGTGTTAAGACTTTTCTTCTTACATCATACAGTAGATTTAGGTCTATGGGAAAGGGAAAGAACAGATTGAAGTAGAGACATGACTGTTCTGCTGGCCATTGTATCTTTAGTGCAGTGCTTTGCACATAGAAGACATTTCAGTATTTGTTGAATGAATTGTATTATCAGTGAATTTGAAGGCATTGTTGAGACCATGGTTGGACTTTAGAATACCAAGTCTGTGCCTTGGTGGTGATAAAGATTTTCATACCTACCTTATAGTGAGTCACTCCAGTAGCATTGAATGACACTTGGAGCATCAGCTTGCCACTGTCAATCAGGGCAGTGTATCCTTGTTTCATGGCTTCCCCAAGGGTCAGATTTCGGCCTGGACCCTCACCGATGTTAAGGATCCATCCCAGCAGAAGAGTTCTCTGAAGTCAAAAGCTTCATTTAGAAAACTGATGTTCAACTTCACCCCAGAGCTATTAAATTTGAGCTCATGCATTCCAATATTTTAACAGGATTAGAGTTAACAGCACCCTTAATGTTGAATTAAATGTTTCTATAACTTGAATTACTTTCATACCATAGTGGTTTCATCAAAGCCGGATATAAACCTTTGAAAAGAAAACTGGAAAAAAAAAAAAAAAAGAATCACGATATGAGGTTTTGATTTGGAGATTTCTCAGATCATGCCACCTGCCAGTTTGTGGAAAACAACCAGGGTAGCTTCTGTACAGTTCTTAACACCAAAAGGGCTGTTTGTAAGAAAAGCTATGAATCCCAGCAATACCCTGACACAAGTCATTTTACTTCTTTGAGCTTCTGAGATCAAAAGGCAATGGAAAGATCTAAGGTCCTTTTCACTTGTAAGTTGAGACACTGGGGTCCTTACATGTAGACCCTTTTACTGTGCCTCTAGAAATTAAGTACTATGTAAAACTATTCTGTTCCATCGATACTAAAATGAAGTATAAGTGTTACTGTGTAGTTATTGTCTATATAAGCCGTATTAGACTAAGCTCTATGAAGGTGTTAGTGGGCTATTTTGTTTAGTACCTAGTACCTGACAAAGGAGTCCTGTTGGCACAATGGCTAAGCACTCAGCTGCTAACTGAAAGGTCAGCAGTTCAAATCCACTGGTGGCTCCGCAGAACAGACCTGGTGATCTGCTCCTGTAAAGGTTGCAGCTTAGGAAACTATGAGGGTAGTTCTGTCCCACTGGGTTGCTATGAGTTGGAATCAACTTGACACTGTACAACAACAACACAGGGCTTGGCAAGTTGTAGGTATTTAAATTTGTCAAGTTCTTGATGTAACTGCAGCTACCAATTGAACATTTTGCTTAGTGCATTGTGTCTGACAGAGCATATAATTTACAGTCAATTCTTTGACCCACCCTATGAGGTAAGCATTGTCCCTACATCTAACTTGGGATCAGAAGCTCAGCATAGTTAAGCAATTAATCCAAAGTCACACAACAAGTAAGTGGTAGGTAGAGGATTGAAATCCTGACCCAATTCCTAAGCCACTCTTGCCTAGGACACTGCTACACTTTCCCCGTGGCAACCATATGAGAAGCAATCAGCCGGTTTCACTCACAGACATGAAATCCTTCATGCAGTTTGTGGATCCTATAATCCATTGGGACAGGCGCTTTTGTGGTTTCATAATTGGACAGCTGATCTGATATGTGGTGGCTCTGTGGCTTGTAGTAGCATTGTTGTCCATGAGTCTGATGGTCATCTGGTACTCATTATGCTGTGTACAGATGAGATAGTGAGAAGAGTGTAAGTGCTGGTACTTCAACAAGAAGGATTTCAGAACACTAGCTGACCTCAAAACTCATACCATTACCAGTATCACAGGTTTTAGAAGGTATTTCATCCCTATACCAGAAGACTTTATAGCTAGCCCTCACAGACATCCCAGTAAGGAGTTATATGTCAGCAGAGAACAGTTCTCTTGAGCACCAAGGATTGGAGTTTAGTTTTTATGTTCATATTACCTCTACCCTATGTCCAGATGTCAGGGTCCTGGCTGATTTGAATAACCCAAGTTCTATCAAAACACTTACTGAACACAATTGAGCAGAGCCATCTTTGATATTACTCTCTAAAGCGGGTTTCCACGCATTCTTCTATAAAGGGTTAGATAGTGATTATCTTAGGCTTTGTGGGCCACAAGTTGTTTTGTTTTTAAACTATTTTTAAAAATGTGAAAACCATTCCAAGTTTGAGGACCATAGTCTACAGATCATGGGCTGAATTTGGTCATTTGTTGTTTGCAGAACCCTGGTGGTACAGTTTAAATTCACCAGCTCCTCCATGGGAGGAAGATGTGGTGGCCTTCCATAAAGATTACAGCACTGGAAACCTATGGAGCAATTCTGTCCTACAGGCTGGCCGTGAGTTGGAATCGACTAGAAGATAATTGGTTTGGTTTTTTTTTTGTTTTTTTTTTTTGGTCTAAAGTAATATAGCTCTAATCTAAACTCCCCAGAGTTGGAAAGGGCGGTTTCAAAAGAGAGAAAGTTAATCACTGTAGCTTCACATGAAGACATGATTACCACAGAGGGCCTCAGGGACCAGATTACTTAAAGTTCACAGGCTCATTTATAGGCCAGGATCTGAGACTGTACTAAATTTAGACTGTGATACTTGCATCAGAATCAGAGAAGTGGCCTATTAAATATATTAATCCCTAAGATCTATCCCACGCCTACCAAGTCTGTATTTCCCAAGTTCCCCAGGTGATTCTTTGGATACGCTAAAGCTTGAGAACTTCTGCCTTAGACAGATCATTCTTATTGCTTGTAATCATCCTGGTAAGACAGTAATGTTATTTGGCAATAGAAAACTCTGCTGCTCAGCTGCTGCTATTTGACTTCCAACACCTGTTTGTTTGTTTTTTAAAAAAAAAAAAAAAAAAAAAAAAACAGGAGGGAAGTTCTTTATTTTCCAGAACTAAAAGAGCCTTCCATTTCATGTGGGGATTACAGATCATAATAGGTAATGGTTGAGCATTCGTTGTGTCTAGGCACTCTGCTAAGCCTTCTACCTGCATTATATAATCCTCAGCTACCTATGGAGAGAGTAGCATTATTCCCATTTTCCAGTGGGCAAAATAGAGGATTAGAACATTACACAACTTGCCTAATATTACACCTAGAAATTGCAGAACCAGAGCATAAACTCAATGCCTCTAAACTCCAGAGTTACTCAACCTCAACACTACTGACATTTTAGGCCTCAGTCTTGGGGTATAGCTGGCTACTCTGCATTATAGGATATTTGGCAGCACCTTTGACTACTACCTACTAAATGCCAGAAGTAGTCCCTTAGCTGTGATAATTTAAATTGTCTCCAGACAATGCAAGTTTCCCCCGGCCAGTAAAATTGTTTCCAGTTGAGAACTACTTTTCTTCAAAGCCTGTATCCTTAACTATTAAGATATAATACTCCCCAAATCAGTCCCCTGAAACAATTACTTACCACTTTTCTGGTACAATTTTCATATGGGGCACTCAGGGTGAGATTTTCTGGGTCCAGGATGTAAGTACAGTTCATTACTTCAAGACCAAGGGAATCTATAGAAGCTAGAACAGTTTAGACAGGTGATGGCTAATGAGGATCTGAAGTAAACTTCAGTGGCAGAGCCAACCAAGCCATTTCTAAAACAATCCAGTACCTCCATTTTTATTTTTGGCCCAACTGTAAGCTATGACACAAGCTTTGAGAGAATGCTGTGATTTGCAGCTTGGGGATTCCCACAGGACTCACACTGTCAAGGAAAGCGAAGGTCTTCTACTCTTGGCAGCATCACGCAAATCATGGAACACTATGGTATCATGGGATTTGGATGCCCATTCCTCCACAGAGTTTGTATATTTTGCTCACCTAACAAATGCTGCTCACCTAGAGCCCAGGGCTTTCTACTACGTGGGCTTAAGATGAGATAATACACATCACCTACCCACCACAGATGCATGCCATTTCTTGGCACCAAAATCTCTTGGTAATGCCATTATCATTCCATCTTCATGGCAAGAGACAGTGCCTGGAAAGCAAAGAAAGCATTTGGAGCCTCCTTGAACTAAGAAAACAATCCCTACCAAAGTGTATTGAAAGACTCCTCCCAAGAGGCATCAGGGAAGGATGCCAGTTGGGAGGGGCAAAGCTTGTCCCAAACCTTCAGAGAGCTGAAAGTCTTTAGAAACAGACAACTACAATACAATATAAGAATTGCAAGGAAGATATCAAGTGAGTGCCCCAGGCTCTATGAAGAGCTTCAAGGATGGCCCTGAATTAAGGTTAGCCAAAATGCCTATAAGAGCCTGGACAGAACCTGAGAAGGTAGGAAGACAGGGCCGTAAAGAGCTAAAGGACAGAGGTCCTCAGAGTTTTTCAATTCAAGTTCAACAGCCCTGGGTACACCCAAGGATTCATTTCTGCAGACAAAATTCTGGTCCCCTAAGCTGAGACTCTGCAACCTCTGGTTCAGCTGAAATGTTTTGAAAAACTTCTTGTTTCAAGCAGACAGCTGTGATTTTGTCACTGGGTGGGGATGGGAGATGCTTAATGTGGCTTAATGTTCTAAGTTTGAGGCAGAAAATACTTAGTATCGGTTTTTTTGAAGCACTTTCATCTAGCTGGTAGAGCATCTCAAAGACGTAGTGCTTTGACCAACGTGAGGAAGAGGGTGAGTGGAGATTGCTGACCCAGGCTTGTGTTTCCTGACTAACTAGATGCCCTAGCTTTTCCCTGTTCTTGCAGCTAGGAGCGTTTTCCTCACAAGAGGCATACCTGGGAAAGTAGAATTCTCCAACTGAGCAGCACCCACTGAGTTCTCTGTGGTTATTAGGATGAAGAAGAGAGGGAGTGACATGTAGGCTCTGGAAGGGAATAGAGAAGAGCATTAATGAGATATGAACCCAGACAGACAACGACTACCGGCCCTCCCTCCTCACACAGGATTACTCACCTCAAGCCTCCAGAGCTTGGGTGTTGCCTGGAATTTGCTCTCCACCTGCACGCCATGACAAGAGGCACCACCATACCAACGAGTTAGAGATGGGTGGACTGGCTGTTGGCTTTTATAGCAGAAAGGATGGGTGGAGGCCCAACCTTTCCCAATTGGGTGCACCTGCATCTTCTCCAGCCCTCCCAGACAAGATGGAGTTTTGGGGCTTTCTAGAAATCCTGAAAGAAGTCCTTTATTGGATACTTCCTTAACCTACCCCTTGAGTATCCACCAGCTGCTCTGAGGGCCAGGCCAAAAGCCAGAGTTCCCTGATGGACTTCAGATGTGTGGATTGATATTTTTCACCAGAATTTTGGGATAAATTAGGATTTTTTGGAAAAAAAAAATTCTTTACAATTCCAATGTAGAATGAAATCAGATAGTGGACATGACCAAGGAAAGAATGTTTTTTTGTTCGATCACTAAACCTTTCAAGTAGCTCCTAGTTTCCTGGTTAAGGAGCTCTGGTGGTGTAGTAGTTAAGGCATTTGGCTGCTAACCAAAAGGTCAGTGGTTCAAACCCACCAGGTGCTCCGTGAAAGAAAGATGAGGCAGTCTGCTTCCATAAATACTTACAGCCTTGCAAACCCAAAGGGAGTTGCCATGAGTTGGAATCTACTTGATGGCAGTGGGTTTTGAGTCTCCTGGTTATTGTGGAAGTTAGTTACTTTGGCAAAGCACATCAAGAATTATCTTTGAACAAATAAATGTGGCATTATTTCCTCCCAGTTATACAGGTTTCAGATTATTGTAGAGTCCCGTGGTGGTGTAATGATTAACCTGCTCAGCTGCTGACCCAAACATGTGTAGGTTTGAGCCTTCTCAGAGGCACCTTGCAAGGAAGGCTGACGATATATTAAAAAAAAAAAACAACTGTGGGGTACAGTTCTCCTCTGGAATCAACTCACTGGCAACTGGTTAAGCTTATTGGGAAAAAAAAAAAAAAAAAAAACTCTTGCCACTGGTGATATTTCAGTAAGTTACTTTATTTCAGTAAGTTACTTTATAGACTTTTTCTACAAACACCACACACACACACTCAAAAAACCAAACTGGAATCAAAGTTTAAATATTGTTTTGTAACATGCTTTTACTACTTTCAGTCATGAATATTTTCCATCTCAAAAACAAAGATCTTCAGTACCATTTTTAAGGTTGCATAGTATTCAATGCCTGGAAAAAATTGTAATTTGACTTTTTTTAATGATGGACTCTTAAGATTGCTTCCAATTTCTCATCATTATAAGCAATTATGAAAATTTTTATACAGTTCTCCAGGTATCTCCCAGGGTAAGTTCCTAGAAGTAAAATTTCTTGGTCAAAGAGAATAGTGATCTAAATAAGGAAGTAATAGTGTACAGCACTTGGGAGTTCACAGAAGGGGAAACTGAGTCAAAGCAACTTGCCCAAGCTCACATAACTAGTGACTGTCAGGGTCAGATCAATATAGTTTTTCAGTTTCTCTCACTACTCTTTGAGACACCTCATTGTCTGCAGCTTGTTTTCCGTAACAGGTGAATGTAATACTAAAATCTGTGCACATCGTGGGGTGATGTTTGCAATTCTTGTTTGCTGTGTTGCCTCTGTGGCATAACTCAAGGCATTATCTCCACTCCGTTACCAAAAAAAAAAAAACCAAACTCACTAACCTGGGGTCGGATCCAACTCATAGCAACCCTTCCTTGGGTTTCTGAGGCGGTATCACTACGGAACTAGATTGTCCAACCTTCCTTCTGAGGAGTAGCTGGGGGGGGTTTGAACTGCCAGCCTTCTGGTTAGTAGTCAAATGCCTTAGGCATTATGCTACCAGAGCAGGCATTTGAAATATCATTTCATTTAGACTAGTTAGTATTTCCCCAACTTCCTTGTTTGGAAGGATGACATGGGCTATCATTAAATATCACAAATTCCTGGGTCTCACCCAAAAACTTTTGAATCAGACTCTCCAGGGGGAAGGGCCTAAGTTAATATGTGTAACAAGCAATACAGATGATTCTTATAGTTAGGGAAATTTGGAAAATACCTGGAGGGAGGGAGGCCAGACAATGAATTGTTGCCAGTGGTTAACGTCTTTATGGAAATTTATTGATTAGATTATGTCCTTGTGGAATTGCTGACAAGGAGCAAAGTAAAGATAAGTAGGTATTGGTGGGTAGAGATGGTAATAGGATTTAGATTCAGGACACAACTACGGTCCAAATGAATAACTAAGCCAGCTGCCATTGAGTTGATTCTGAAGCAGATAGCCAGGTCTTTCTTCAGAGATGCCTCTGGATAAGTCTAAACTGTCAATCTTTCAGTTAATAGTCAAGCACTTAACCATTTTCACTACCCAGGGACCCCAGAACTATGGTAGCAGTGAGTATTTCTTCTAAACATATTTTCCAAAATGGGACACTTTTTTTTCTTTTTAACAAATGTTGAAGGTAATTTGTTAGCAGGATAGTGAAGTCTATGATGAGAAGACATTAGAGAAATAGCCTATGGAAGCAAGACTCAGAGATCTACTAAAATGTGGTCAAGGAGGTGATTGATTGATGTGCCTGATCCACCTACAAACTATGCAGGCCACACCCACCAGGCTAATTCCCTTAGACTGTACCTTTTCGCTTGGAAACGGCAACTCTTGTCAGAGCCTTCTTGGAAGCTAAGGCTGTAGTGATTAAAGCATTTGGACGGTAACAAAAAGGTTGGTGGTTCAAATCCACCAGCCTCTTTGCAGAAAAAAAGATAGTTACTCTGTTTCTGTAAAGATTTACAGCCTTGGACACCCGATGGGGTTCTCTATGAGTCGGAATTGACTCCATGGTAGTTTGGTTTTGTGTTTTTTGTTTTGGAACAGGCAGTAAAAAGGCCCTGAATAGGAGACAGGGAGAAGAGAAGGACCACTGAGGGGACTGGTGAAGGTGGTGAGTGTGCCAGAGACTCATTTCAGTGGCCTCCTCAGACCCAGGTCAATGGACAGTCATTGCCCATTGGGTTCCAAACTCATACAAATTGATTTACAGGAGTCTGCCCTAGAAAAACCCTTGTGTAAGTGCATGGGGATACACAGCCAGCTTTGAAATGAGGAAGAAATACTGTTTCATAAGCAGACAGTGTCTCACAGCAGTACCAAATCAAACTTACTGCTGTGAAGTCAATTCCAACTCATAGCGACTCCTCCTTGAGTTTCCGAGGCAGTATCTCTACAGAAGTAGATGCTCAGTCTTCCTTCTGTGGAGTGGGTTGGCAGGTTTGAACTGCCAGG